AATCCTCTCCAATAATTTCCCTACCACTGACGTAAGGCTCACTGGCCTGTAATTAGCTGAATTATCCCTGCCACCCTTCTTAAACAAAGGAAAAATATTGGCTATTCTCCAATCCTCTGGGACCTACCCTGTAGCCAGTGAGGATAGAAAAGATTTCTCTCAAGGCCCCAGCAATTTCCTCCCTCGTCTCTCTCAGTATTCTGAGGCATATCCCCACAGGCCCTGCGGATTGTCTACCTTAACGTTTTTCAAGATCCCCACTACCTCCTCCCTTTTGATCTCAACATGACCCAAACTTAATCTACACAGACCCATCATCCACCAAGTCCTTCTCTATGGTGAATACTGAGGCAAAGTACTCATTTAATACCGCCCCCATTTCCTCTGGCTCCACACATAAATTCCCTCCCCTGTCCTTGAGTGGGCCAACTGTCCCCTTGGCTACCCTCTTGCTCTTTATATGTGTATAAAAAGTCTTGGCATTTTCTGATAATCCTGTTGGCCAATGACTTTTCATGACCCCTTTTAGCCCTCCTGACTCCTTGCTTAAGTTTCTTTTGACTTTCCTTGTATTCCACCCTTGTTTCGTTTGTTCCCAGCCTCCTAGCTTTGATAAATGCTTCTTTATCTTTCTGACTAGGCTCACAATATCTCTTGTTATCCAAGTTTCCCTAAACTTGCCATACGTATCCTTCATCCTTAAAGGAATGTGTCGCACCTTAGTTCCCAGCAACTTACACTTGAAAGCCTCCCACATACCATATGTTGATTTACCCTCAAACATCTGCCTCCAAACTACATTCTTCAGCTCCTGCCTAATATTGTTGTAATTAATCTTCTCCCAATTTAGCACCTTCACCTGACAACTACACTTATCTTTATCCTTAAAGCCTACTGAATTGTGATCACTGTTCCCGAGCTGCTCCCCTACTGAGACGTCAACCATCCGGCCAGGCTCATTCCCCAATACTAGGTCCAGTAGGGCCCCTTTCCTAGTTGGACTATCTACATACTGTTTCAAGAAGCCCTCCTGGATGCCTCCTATGAACTCTGCCCTACTCGCACCCCAAGCACTAATTGAGCCCCAGTCAATATATGGGATGTTAAAACCACCCACGACTGTTACTTTTACATCTTGCTAAAATCTGCCTACATATCTGTTCTTCTATCTCCCACTGGTTATTGGGAGGCCTGTAGTAGAACCCCAAACATTGTGACTGCACTCTTCCTGTTCCTGAGTTCTACCCATATTGCCTCGCGATATCAGACATCCGAGGTGTCCTCCTGCAGTACAGCTGTGATATTCTCCTTAACAAGTGGTGCAAATCCCCCACCCCTTTTACATCCCCCTCTATCCCACCTGAAACATCTGTATCCAGAAATGTTAAGCTGCCAATCCTGTCCATCACTTACCCAAGTCTCTGTAATAGCAACAACATCCTTGTTCCAAGTACTAATCCGAGCTTTTAAGTTCACCTGCTTTACCTGTTACACTTCTTGCATTGAAACAGATGCACTTCAGTCCACCGGACCCATTTTGTTTTGCAACCACACCCTGCCTACTGTTCCTCTGAGTCTTACTGGCCCTGTTCTCTAGTTCCCTTTCAGTCAATTCACCATTGCTTTGGTTGTCACCTCCCTGCCAAGCTAGTTTAAATCCTCCCAAGTGACACCAGCAAACCTCCCCGCCAGAATATTTGTGCCTCTCCAGTTTAGGTACAACCCGTCCTTCTCGTACAGGTCCCACCTGCCCTGGAAGAGATCCCAATGGTTCAGATATCTGAAACCCTCCCTCCTACACCATCTGTTTAGCCACGTGTTGAGCTGTACTATCCTCCTATTTCTTGCCTGGCTGGCACGTGGCACAAAGAGTAATCCTGAGATTACAACCTTGGAGGTCCTGCTCTTTAACTTTCTACCTAACTGCCTGAACTGCCGCTGCAGGACCCCATCCCTCATCCTACCAATGTCGTTAGTACCGATGTGTACCACAACCTCTGGCTATTCACCCTCTCCCTTCAGCATGCTTTCTGCCCACTCAGAGACGTCCTGGGTCCTGGCACCAGGGAGGCAACACATCATCTTGGAGTCTCTTTTACGTCCACAGAAGTACCTATCTGTACCCTTAACTACAAAGTCCCCTATAACTATTGCTCTAGTGCTCTTTGTCCTTCCCTTCTTAAGAGTAGAGCCAGGGATTTTTAATACATGATTCCCTTTGAAATAAAATCAAAATTCTGTTTGCCTTTCCAAATACATGCTGAACTTGATGCTAGATTTTCAAGATTCTTGCACCAGGGCCCCTGAATCCCTCAGTACTGCAGCTTTCTGTAGTCTTTCCCCATTTAAATCATATACATACGAACATACAAACAAGGAGAATGAGTAAGCCATTCAGCCACTTGAGCTTGCTCCACCGTTCAAGAATATCATGGCTAATCTGATTTTAATCTCAATTTTACATTCCTGCATATGCCCAATAATCTAACATCCCCTCAGTAATCAAGAATCTATCTACTTCTGCCTTAAAGTCACGCATTCACTGCTTCTTGTGGAATTGAATTCTAAAGACTCACAAGTGTCAGAGAGAAAAGAACTGGGACTTACCGACATCCATTTGTTACTGAGTTAATTTTTTTTTTACCAGCTTGCTATGTTCTTCCAAATCCTGTGGGCTTTTATTCTTTTCACCATTCTGTCATGTGGGACCTTGTCAAAATTTATTTATATCACATTATACAGTTAAAGGCAGGACTCTGAACAGCATTGATATACAGAAGGATCTTGGGGTTCAAGTCCATAGCTCCCTGAAACTGGCCACCCTAGTAGATAGGGTGGTAAAGAAGGCCTATGGCATGCTTACCTTTATTGGTCAGGGAACTGAGTACAAGAGTCAGGATGTCATGTTGCACCTCTATAAGACTTTGGTTAGGCCACACTTAGAGTATTGTGTTCAATTCTGTTCACCACATTACAGGAAGGGTGTGGAGGCTTTGGAGAGGGTGCAGAAGAGGTTTACCAGGGTGCTGCCTGGATTAGAGGGTATGAACTAGAAGGAGAAGTTAGAAAAACTCAGGTTGTTTTCTCTGGAGTGACGGAGGCTGAGAGGACACTTGATAGAAGTCTATAAAATTATGAGATGCATAGGTAGGTTGATAGTTAGAATTTTTTCCCAGAATTGAAATATCTAATACTAGAGGGCATGCATTTAAGGTTAGAGGGGGAAAGTTCAAAGGAGATGTGGGGCTAAGTTTTTTACACAGAGAGTGGTAGGAGTCTGGAACGCACTGCCAGGGCTGATGGTGGAGGCAGATACAATAAGGGCATTTAAGGAACTCTTAGATAAGCACATGAATATGCAAGGAATCGAGGGGTATGGACCAATGGCAGGCAGAAGAGATTAATTTCATTTGGCATCATGTTTGGCACAACATCATAGATCAAAGGGCCTGTTCTTGTGTTGTACTATGTTCACATGAACTATACTTTCTGCATCAATCCTCCTTGTAACTTCCCCAAAAAATTAATTCTAATTAGTACGAGATTATCTTCCCTTTAGTAAAATCAATGATGACTTGATTAATCCATGCCTTTCTTAAAATACTACAGTGGAAATAGGTCCATACTGACCCTTCAAGGAGAATCCTACTCAGGTCCACCCCTATAGCACTGCATTTTCCATGGCTACTGCACCTAACCTACCCATTTTAGGATGACAACCCACACAGAAGCAGGAAGAACATGCAAACTCCACACAGACAATTGCCCAAGGGTGGAATTGAACCTAGGTCCCTGGCACCATGAGGCAGTAATGTTAACCATTGTGCCACCTCCAAGCGTCAGCTGCTTTCTTCGTTACAGTTTATGGAGATGCAGTGGCACATATTGAAGGGAATCCTTCAAAATACATGAAACTGATACACTCCAATGAGTTTGAAAAATTCTAAGGGGAAGACACACCATGCATTCTCAATTTAAAAAGTCAAGGATTGAATAAGTTTATTGAAATGGTGGGCAAATGCCATTCCTACAGACAGAGTGGAGGTGTACCACAAACTGAGCACCCAGACTGCATTTGGTCTTGCTGATGTAACAGAGACTGCATTGTAAGCAGTGGATACAATAGACCCAATTGAAAGAAGCACAAGTAACCACCATTTTCCAATCCCTTTTAGCTCTGAAGAAGAGTCATATCAGACTTAAAGCATTAACTTTAAATCTGTCTCCACACCTGCTGAGTTTCTCCAACATTGAGTTTTTTTTTTTCAGATTTCCAATATCTGCAGATTTTTTCCTTTTGTTTTACAGGGGATGTGGGATGCATAAAAGGCATTAAATTGTGTCAATCAGCTGTGGTCATCTTAAATGACAGGGTACACTTGTTGGGCTGAATGGCCTACTCCTTTTCTTATGAGGATTAACTTTTTCCTTGGACGTATCTTTTGGTTTATCCTAGAGAAGTCTAAAGTTGGACAAATGTGAAGCAGAGTTGACAACTGAGTAGGATGGGTCTGTTTTAAATCAAATTGTTGAGGCACGTTAGGGTGACTATCTGTACTTGATGGGATTTGAACCAAGACATTCCGACCTAAAGGGAGGGACTTTACCACTACACCAAAAGAATTCCCTGACTGGCAGATATTTTCCCCATCAGCCTACTCAAAGGTGTAATGGCACACCTCTGGAGCAGGTGAGACTTGAACCCATACCACTGGGCTCAGAGGTAGAGGCACTAATCGGTGCACCACAAGAACTCTCCCACTACACCAGGTATTTCCCCATACAAGTAGTAACCAGGCCTGAGTCTGCTTAACTTCTAAGCGAAAGTACCTTCAGTTAAGGATGGCTGCCAACAGCTTTGGCTGGTAAGAATACACCTATTATTTTCAACAGTCTGCAGCATCTTTTATCAATTGATTTCTTAATTGAAGTTTAATTAGAATTGATTGTTGTTGTTTAAAAATCAGCAACTTTCCCTAAATTCCTCTGGAAATATCCTGATTTCAATTTAAAGGCCCTTAGATTTCTCCTTATTCCAGAAGGCTGCCCAGATGAAGCTCTCATAAATTATCCCTTTTGGTGTAATTTTGTTTGTCTGGTTTTTTTCTTGTTTCTAAGGTATGAGTTAAATTATTTTTTTCCTGAAATTTTGCTTCCCTGTTTAGGTGAACTTGTCTTTCCCCTTTACTTCATTTAATTAGAGGGGTTTTTGTACAGTTCTGGTCTTCTGCAGTTGATTGTGGTCTGTTGGTTCAGGTTAAATTGGCTTTATGTGAAAATTTTTTTTTTTTTCCCTGTTGATAATAACTTGACTGCTGTAGTTATTTCTGATAATGCTTCTGATAGACCATTGGAAGATAGTGGGAGAAGACAGAAATTGTCAGGAAAGACTACTCTCACTAGTAATAGTCAGATACACAGAATGGAAACAGACCCTTTGGTCCAGCTTGTATATGCTGAATAGGTATCCTAAACTACTGTAGTCCCATTTGGCCCATATTGTTCTTAAACCCTTCCTCTTCGTGAATGTACCTAAATACTTTTCAAATGTCAAAATTGTACAGGTCTTCACCGTTTCCTTTGGCAGCTCACTCTATACATATGCTTCTCTCTGTGGAAAAAGTTCTACCTTGGGTCTCCTTTTAAATCTTTCCTCTCCCCTTAAACCTATACTGTGTAGTTTTAGACACCCCTACCCTGGGGCAAAAGACCCTGGCCATTCATCCTATCCTTGCATATCATGTCAAACATCAGTTTTAATGTTACTAACTAAAACCTAATCCAGTTAGTCTATATTTAAGCTTTGATTTTATGTAGATTTCAATTCTAAGTAAGTTTTGAAATGCATAATGGTGGTTTACTTTTTTTTTTGGTTGCTTGCAGACTAAATTGGTTTAAGATGTCACTGAATATGGTTGAAAGATTTTTTTGTTTGAGAATAGTAGGGCAAGATATTTATGTAAAAGCACGTTTCTGTTGATTGTTAATCTGCATTCCAAGTATTTAAATTTTTGCTAGATTAAATTTAAACATTATCTTTTTCAAATTACTTATTTTAATAAGATGGCTAAGACAGCATATGAGATGCTTTGCTTCTGTTGATCTATAACATTAAGAGCAAGAGGAAAGGCTCCCAGTGGTAATGTGGATCCAGGTTCCAGTCTTTACACCCCTGGAGGTGTGTAGGAACATCTGGAGTTGTTTAAATTTAACATCCATGCTCTTAGTTGTGTTGGAGCTGCAGAGAAATTTGTTTACTGCTGGAGTGCTGTATGTGGCTTTCTTCACTGCAGTCATTCTTCCAATAGTGCACTGGAGGGGGTGCAGATGAGATGCACTAAGATGTTACTTGGGTTGGAGCATTCTCTCTTGCGCGCTCTCTCTGAAGAGAGACCGGCAAGTTCTGGTTTTCTTTGGAACAGATCTCTGCTGGAGGGAAGGCACCTGATTGAGGTGTATACAACTGAGGGATATGTGCAGTAAATGGAGAAGTTATTACTTTAGTCAAAGGGTCAATAACAAAGCAGCGTCACCATGATATGAAAGGCAAGATGTTTAGAAAGGTAATGAAATCCCCACCCTGAGGGTGGGGGAGCAGTAGGTGGTCTTGAATGCACTGTCTGGGAGCATGATTGAGGTGGGACACCTCCACATTCTCTTTTTAGAAGTATTTCAATGAAGTGTTGCAACACAAGGACTTAGTGCAGGACGGTGTGGCTAGCGTAGATAGTAGTTTTTGGCAGTGCCATCTCAATGGGCTGAAACTTCCTCTTGTACTATGATTTGAAAAATTCAAAAAGAATGCTCTAACTGACTTTAAATGCCATCAACATAAGTAAGGTTCCTTAATGTTGCTGACTTTTCTATTGTCTTTAACAATAAACAACAAACTATTAACTTTTCCTTTTATTTAAAGGAAACATTTAAAAATTGGCTTCACTTCTTCTAACCACTTCTACTGACTAATCTGAATAGAACACAGTGCTGCCTGAACACAAAGGCTGTTGACATCTCTAAACCTGAAGGAAGCTGCAAAGGTCTCCATGATTGAGTAGTCATTTGAGTGTAACTTGCTAAGAGGCAAGTGGATCGTATCGAAGACCCTATGTTCAGAGCAAACTCTTTTAAGATGTTAGTGAACACTACTTTAGAAAGCAAGGTAATGATGAATGGCTTTGGGGTGGGGGCAGGGAAGGACAGCATGATGAGGATGGAATTGTTGTTTTTTCTGCAATGTGGCATTCATGTAAATTAACATGAGGATCACAGGGAACGAATTGGGATCCCAACTGGCCATTAAAGGAGCTCCTTCCAAACTTTGAGATCCCTGATCTGAGATGAGTTTGCTGTGGAAGGGCTTTCCACCAACACGGCCTCTTCTGCCACTTTTTAAAATCTGGCTTTTTTCCCCCCTCTACTGCCTTGGTTTGGTAACCCTGGTCTAAACTTTCAGTAAGTTGGGTGGCAAAATGCTTCATCTGTGCTGCAGTCCTTGTTAGCATGTCTCGTTCTGGTTCTGGTTCTGCTTCAAACTTGGATATTTGCTGATAGTCACATCTGCTTTGTCACTGCTTTCCAACTTGTAACAGCTGCAGAAAGCACTAAAAGTGCAATTGAAGCAACAGCTGACAAGATTGCATCTGCTCTGATTGGGGCCAGGCATAGCTCTTTCTGTTGATGACTGGAGTGTTGTCATACTTAAGGGGAGTAACTGGCAGCAGGTACTTTGAATCCAATCTCATTACATAGACAGCAAATAACTGATTTGACTGTCTCATTTGGACTAATGCAAACTTTCAGCATGCTAGTAACTTTTTGTTTTTGTTCCAAGTTGCACAAATGAGTGGCTTAGCAAAAGGCTGTTTAACTCTGGTTTGTTTACGTCTTGCAGGCATCCCTGGAATAAATGTGCTCTGATTCACCCCATAAGCCTTGCCTAGTCTAGTCTACTTGGGGAATCCAGCTCCACAAAATGCTTCTGTATTATCTGCTCCTCTGAAATGGGAGCAGATAAGTCGATTCAAAGACAATTGGGAATGGAACCTGCCAGCAATGCTCAATCCCATCTAGGAATATGTACTGAGGATACTGTTAGAGATGTCCCTATTAAAATGAGGACTTGAAGGATGCTCAATCAGTAATGGAATCACATCTGCCCATTTTAAGACCGGGCCAGTTGCTTATGATTATGGTTCCTTGTTTCTCTTGATCTGGCTTTGTAAACAAAAATGACCATTCACAGGCAGAAGTAACCTGCTTAGATATTACTAACACTCAGTCCCAATGGATCACTTGTCAAATTTTTTTCTGAAACCATGAAAGGCTTAAGTTGCTACAAACTGATCAGGCCAAATGGAAATAGTTTAAGGGTGTTGGTTAGATGTTTAGTGTGCGTGCAAAATGTTAGTTTATTTTCCTGAGCAGAGGGCTGTAGAAACCAACTTGAAGCCATGATTGTTTCCTAGCAGGAAGTGAGGTTTATAACTGTTCATTGTGGGAGAAACTAGAAGGAAAAGTGAATATTTTAAATTAAATGGTTCTACTTAAGGTACTGCTAGATTACATGTGACTGAACAAGTTGTGACAAAATAAGAATAAATCTTCCATCTTAGTATAACAAGGAAGGAATGATCATAAGAATTCCTGATGTAACTTTCTTTTTATGTACCAAGGCTCTCCAGAAACTCCAGGTACCTAATTTTATTACCTGGTTAGGTTTTTTCCTAGCAATAGGAAAACTCTAAACTTGGAGTGGTTCATCATAACCATGCCTCTAATAATCTTTGAAACAAGATCAGCCAAGTTGCTGCTTCTAGCAACCTAGAAAATAGATGCAGGCCATTCAGCCCTTCAAGCATGTTCTTCCATTCAACATGATGTGGCCAATCATACAATCTCTGTATCCCATTCCCACTTCCCCCTCTATAACCCTTGATCCCTTTAGCCACAAGGGCCACTTCCAACTCCCTCTTGACTATCTCTGAAATGGCCCCAACAGCTTTGTGGTAGAGAATTCCACAGGTGCTCACTGAGTGAAGAAATTCTTCATCTCAATACTGAATGGCTTACTCCTTATTGTCAGACTGACCCCTAGTCATGGACTTTTCCCAAACAACAGGAGCACTCTTCCCACATCTAACCTGTCCAGTCCCAAAGGGAATTTTTTTTGTGATCTCCCTCATTCTTCTGAATTCCAGTGAGTACAAGCCCAGTTGATCCAATCTTTCCTTGTCAATCCTGCCAGGAATCAGTCCAGTGAACTTTTGCTGGACTCTCTCTCAATAGCAAGAATGTCCTTACTCAGGCCCGGTGACCGAAGCTGCATACAGTACTCAAGGCCCTGCCACCTCACCATTGTTGGTCCAATCTGCAGATGTTTCTTGAGTAAATTGCCCAAGATTCAAATTCTCTATCTCTCCTTCAAAGGAATCTGTATTAAGCAACTTTAGCCTCGCTTGAATGCTGAACATCTACAATGGACTTCAGTGGACAATATGAGCTCCAGAGCCAAGAAAATATGGAACAATTTATGGAAGTTTTGGGTAAGCTGAAGATGAAATATAGCAAGTCAGTGGATGAGCTAAATGTTCCAAACTCCACTGGGATTGTCTTTGACTGGGCAGCTTTGTCTAAATCTGAAAATAAAGCAGCTTTGCTCCATCTATTTGAATAATCCTTTGTGCCCCATAGCATTGTTTTCCTTTTAACGAAAAGGGGAAAAAATTGTTTTAAAATGTGTTTTATGTTCTGTTTTAACCTTGTGATAAGTGCATGTATACAGTATGTAAGGAAGAGTGCTTTCTGGAGCCTGAATGAACTCATTTTTATGCTAAAGAGAAGGAAGGCAGACCTCTTGCAATCTGAACAGACATGTTACTTCATCTCCCAGTAACCTTAGCAACAATATCATTGTACTTGTCTGTTATCCTACAATAAACCAATCTTTTAAGACCAGATCCTCCAAGATGCTTATTTTTGCCTATCACAATCAAAATAGGGCCTTACTCCCAGCCCAGGAAAGGGATGGCTGACAGACACCAGCGCTGCCACTGCCACCTCACCACTTCCCACACCCCCAAATTCTCCAATCCATTCAGATATAGAGCTTTCTTTAATCTCCTGGCTTTCTTTTTAATAAGCTCTAGCAAATCCCTCACTAGAGCCTTCCAACACCAACATCTAATCTGCATATCCTCTCCATGCCATTTAAAATTGGGATAACTTGGGGCTTGGCATAAAAGGAATTGGTTAGAAAAGAACTTTGGAACAGACATTCAAATTCTTCAGAGTTATGATTGAATGTTGAGAAGGTTTTAAAAACAAATTGTCTTGCTAATGTAAAACTCTGAAATGCAGCTAAAATATTTACTGTTCACCATTCCCACAACTACAAATAGGATATAAAGTTCAAATATGGACTAGTTCAATATCTCCTTGTTTGATCTTGTTCTTACTCAGACCTTCATTTTACAAGGTCAAGAGTAAGGTCTAATTTCTTAGTCTAATCTTGAGCTGACCAGTTTAATGACTTTTAAATTTTCCTCGTGTATCTTTACTCAATTTTTTCACTAAAATGTGGAGTTCAATGTTTACGTGTGTGTGTGTGTGCATCTCTTGACTCTTGGAGCTTGTAACTCATTTGCTTGAAGCTATCAGCAATGATACAATTGGTACCAATTGTGTACTTTGCAGGAGTCCCAGATGATATGATTGAAAAATTCAAAGACCTCAAGAGGGTTACTAAAATTGTCCAAAATGGAGATGACTTCATAGTTGCTATCCAAACTGGTGATCAGGTACTTGTCAATAATTTCACACTTGGACAAGAGACACATGTGCAAACTCCTGCAGGAGACAAGATCAAGGTAAGAACCTAGAGTTTAAGAAGGAACGAGAGTTGGTGTAACTTCCTCAGGGGATTTTGCCCAATAGGGCTTGCTGATTTAACTTGTGCATTAAAGTAATTACAAGGGCTACTTGAAATATTTCTGAACTTCTGCTTTCTCAATTTTTTTTTTTTGTTTGCACAGGCTATAATGAACCTAGAGGGAGAAAATAAGCTAGTTGTTAAAGCAAAAGATTTTACTTCAGTTGCAGAGTTTGATGGAGATCTGCTGACAAACGTAAGCTTTTAAAACTGGTATTTTCCACAGCTCCTGTTGGCTGCTAATGTGTAGATCTAAGCATGCTTACTCATGTTAAGTAAACAGCAACAATGGTGCCTTTTGTGGTGTACAGTGGGGCAGGTAGTGGGATAGTGAAGAAATTGGTCAAACACCCTCCATCACTTCACCCCCTCATTCCCTGATCATCATTGACTGATGTGATTCTATTGTAGCACAATTGTTAGAATTTCTGATTTTCTCCACTTTTAACTGTATAGCTTGGGTGGAAAGTTTAAATAGTATTAATTTTAAAAAGGTTATAG